GTGTTGGAAGTAATTCCCAAGCTGGGAACGAGAGAGGAGCGAAGCAGGGATTTAACACCACGTTCTGTTCCAGAGAACCAGCCCTCCATCATGGACATCCTGGCCAAGAAAAAGGCTGCGCCCAAGCCAGCGGCGAAGGAGGGACCCCCGCGCGCCAAGGGCGACAACGCCAAGGGGAGGAAGGCCGTGAAGAGGCAGCCGAGCTCCTTGGATTCGGATTCCGATTTGGATATTGGCTCGAAGCCTTCCAAATCCGTGGCATCAAAGGTTTGTGCCCTGCACCCGTCGGTGCCAGGGGATCCACAGGGAGCGGGGTCGGTTCTGGCAGGAAAAGCCGGTGGAGGTTAAAAGCCTCTGCCTGCCTGTGGGGAACAGGGTGGTCACAGAATCGTGGAATCTCCTGAGCTGGAAGGGACCCCCAAGGATCATGGAGTCTGACTCGTGGCCCTGCCCAGGACACCCCAACAATCCCCCGTCTCTCCCTGAGAACGTTGCCCAAACACTCCTGGAGCTCTGGCAGCCTTGGGGCCGTGCCCACTGCTCTGGGGAGCCTGGTCAGTGCCAACCACCCTCTGGGGGAAGAACCTTTCCCTAATAAGGGCCAGACACCCACTGTACCTGTGGCACAGCGGGCTTGTGATGCTTACTGTTGTTCCCTGGGGATGCTCAGATCCATGACTCCTTCCCTGCTTTCCCTGCAGAAATCCAAGCTGCAGGATGACACCTTCACCGCTGAGCCCAGTGCCAACAGCCCCGTAGCCCAGCCCCAGGCCAGACCTGGCCGTGCCAAAAAGCCCGTCCAGTACCTGGAGGAGTCCTCAGAGGATGACATGTTTTGAGGTTTTAGGACAATTTTAAACTCCTGACCCACAAAGAGCTTTCAGCAGAGCTCTGGAGCTCCCACCAACGACCACCTCAGCCTAGGAAATCATCTCCAAATACAAGCCCCTCCAAAAATGTTCGTTACAGGTGAACACAGCTCGTTTTTTCTTGGTTTTAAATAATTTAGATTTGTTGAAACAAGAACATCCCCTTTTTTGTGAGCACTGGAGCCACGTGCCCAGTGAGTGCTGCCGCACTTCCCTCTTCCCTGTTATTTGACACTTTGTGGTCATTTTAGTGTTAAAGTTGACTTCAGAACATGCCAAATTTTTTAAAATTGATGCAACCCTCATGAAATATCTTAAAATACTAAAATATACAAACTTAACTCCACCACCTGACACAGGTGAGCTGGAGCCATTTTTTCATCAATTCTCCCTGTAAATATTTTTTGTGTTTTTCTTTGTTGTCCTGAGTTTGTCTTTTTTTAATATTTGTCTAATAAAAGTGTTTATATTTATTTTCTTCACTGAATTTGAGTGTTTGTTTTTAGGAAAATAACCACTGCAGAGCTTGTGCTAAGCCCTCCCTCCCTCTGCCAGAGCAGAGGGTTTGGCACAAGCTCTGGGGGTGTTGGGCTGGTTGGCCACTTCCCCACTGGTTGTGGCCACTGTGGCTCCCCAGCCAAATTCCTGTGAACACCCCTGTTGTCCCCAGCACGGGAGGAGCTGCTGGGCCAGAGCAGCTGTGGCTGCCCCATCCCTGGCAGTGTCCAAGGCCAAGCTGGACGGGGCTTGGAGCAACCTGGGATAGTGGAAGGTGTCCCTGCCCATGGCAGGGGGTGGGACTGGATGGGCTTTGAGGTCCCTTCCAACCCAAACCATCCCATGATTCCATGAAGCCCCAGGGCCCCCCACACTATCGGTGCTTTGCTGGAACCCAGTCAAGTGTGGAAAGCACTGTCAGATTTTCCACTGGCTCTGGAGAGTGTCTCCGGCGCGTCCCCTCCGAGGGCCGGGCTATTTACGGCTCCTCTGCTGCAGAACCGTTGTCACAACCCGGGACGAGGCCACGGGTGGGTTGTGGGGCTGCTCCCAGAACCCCAGCACCACCCAGACGTGGAGGGAGAGCTCTGGGAACACACAGAGTGCACCACAGTGTCCGTGCCAGGGGTTTCCCCATTCCAAAATCTCCTTGGGTGGGGTGTTGGAGGTGCTGCTGAATGGGAGCTGAGCTGTGGGATGCCAGGGGCACTGTGACCCACCAGGGGCACTGCATGTCCCCAAGGGGCAAAGAGGGTGACCTGTGTTGTCCAGGCTCTGCTCCTGTTACTGGAAAGGGGATTTGAGGTGCTGGCAAAGGCCATTGGTGCCACCCTGGCCAGGCAGGGGCTGGTGGGAGCCCAGCCATGGCATGGGGGATTTCTTGCAGGTATCATGCGTGACAGAGCCATGGGAAGATCCATGGGACCCCTGACAGCCTGGGCACAGTGTCCTGGGTCAGGGAGGGCCAGTGCCAGCCATGAGCATCCCCTGGGCACCATGGGGCAAAGCCCAGCCCCCAGCAGGAGCTGTGCTACCACGGCTGGGTGCACCCAGGCTCTGACGGGTCCGGGGGGCAATGCCAGCACTGGGGGAGCCTTTTGGGGGCCGAATGCTGTGGCTTGGGGACCTGAGGCCCTGCAGGTTTAGGGAGGCCAAGGTTTGGGGGCATTTCTGCACAGAGGGGGCCACTGCCCCTGCACCAACCTGTGCCCTGGGCAGCTCCCAGCCCTGGGCAGGGGCAGCGTTTGTCCATGAGACCCCCACCACCACCACCTCCCCCCCAGCAGTTCCAAGCCCTTCCCTCCTCTCTGCGTGCCCCTGTGGCTGCTCTGTCCCTTTAAAAGGACTCCAGGCGTGGCTGTGGGACCGTTATCCCAGCCCAGCCGGACAAGGGACCGGACAGTCCCGGACAGCCCTGGACAGCCGGCGCCAGCCGCGCTGGCACACCGTGGACCGCAGCCTCCGCAGGTACCGGGGCGCTGGGGGGGCTCCTGGGATTTGGGGGGACAAGGGATGGGGAACATGCTGGTCTTGCTCCAGTTGGTGTCCTTGGACCCATCCCTGGGTCCCTGGGGAGGGAATTCTAGGCACAGCGGATGCCCGGGGACACTTGTGACAGGGCTGAGCTGGGCTGGCACTGCCCGGCCACCCTCCCGTGAGTGGGGACATCGTGGTGCATTCAGGAATGGCAGGAGGATGGAGAGCTGGAGGGGCCATGTTGCCACTGGGGCCTGACCTCACGGGCACGGCGACCCCCCAGCGCTGACCCCGCTCCCACAGCACGGCCATGGGCGAGTGGGGCTTCCTGAGCTCGCTGCTGGACGCCGTGCAGGAGCACTCGCCCATGGTGGGCCGCTTCTGGCTGGTGGTGATGCTCCTCTTCCGCATCCTGGTCCTGGCCACGGTGGGCAGCGACGTCTTCGAGGACGAGCAGGAGGAGTTCGTGTGTAACACGCAGCAGCCGGGCTGCAAACCCGTGTGCTACGACGCCGCCTTCCCCATCTCCCACTATCGCTTCCTCGTCTTCCACGTCGTCGTGCTCTCGGCGCCCGCCGCCCTCTTCGTCATCTTCGCCGTGCACCAGGCGGCCAAGCCGGGGCGCGGGGGGGCCCCGGGCCAGCGCGCCCGCCGCCTGCAGCCCTTCTACGTGGGCAGCGTGGTGGCCCGGATCGCCGCCGAGCTGGGCTTCCTGCTGGGCCAGGCTCTGCTCTACGGTTTCAGGGTGCAGCCGCTCTTCGTGTGCCACCGCCGGCCCTGCCCGCACCACGTCGACTGCTTCGTGTCCCGCCCCACCGAGAAAACCGTCTTCATCCACTTCTACTTCGTGGTGGGGCTGGTGTCGGCGCTGCTCAGCCTGGCCGAGCTCGCCCACCTCCTGCGCAAGGGCCCCCCGGTGCGGGCTGGCTGCTGCCCCCGGCCACAGGAGCGGGGCCCGGCACCCGGGCAGCCGGCGGGGGCTGTGGCAGAGCCGTGTTGTCCCCCCCCACGGGGGGACCTCACCGTGTAACCGGCCCTGGGCTGCCACTGCTGCCACGAGCCGTGGCCGTGGCAGCCGGGCCCCGGTGCCCCCAGTGCCCCCCGGTTCCTGTTATGGGCGGTGGATGGGCCTCTCTTGGCAGCTGCTGGAAAAAAAATATGGACAAAAGGAAGACAAACAGGTCCCATCCCTGTGCAGTGGCAGGGATGTCCCTTCCCACCCTGCCTGCCCCCAGCCACGCATGAGGGGCCAGAGCTGTCCCCACACCCTGTGCTGGGGGTGTCACAAATGCTCTCAGGCTGGCCCTGGGCATTGGGAGACACAAGTGTGGCATCAGGACTGGGAAGGGCAGAGCTTTTGGGATGCTGGGGGGACCCCAAAGGGTTCTGCTCCAGCCCAGCCTCTGGGGATGGCCAGAGCCAGGAGGGCAGATGGGGGGGTCCTGGGGTACCCTCCTGCAGCAAAGAACCCTCCCCCCAGCAGGGGTGCCACAGCCTGGCCATCTCCCCACCCCTGCACCCCAACCTCCCCCAGTACCCCACAACAAGAACGAGCCAGGCACTAGAATAAATAAACTTTATTCTGGAGCCAGCCCCCACCCCATCCCCCCTCCCCCCCATCCTCCCCGTGCCGGCAGGGCCGGGCCCCCCCTCCCCACGAGGCCGGGGCTGGCACCGCCACGTGCCCCCCCACAGCCCCCTCCCCGCCTGGGGGGGCCGGGGCAGGGCCCGCCCGGTGCCCCCCGACTCTAAATCCACTAAAATCTCAACAACAACAAAAAAAAAAATTTAATAATAATAAACCGTGTGCCCCCCCCCGCCCCTCCCCCGGCAGCGCCCGCCGTGCCCCCTCCACCTGCACAGGCCTAAAAACCCCTCCAAACTTTTACAAAGGTTTTAAAACGTATTTATAGATATTTATAGATATTTATATATATATACTTTGCTTTCTTTTCTCTTTTAAATGACTCTGCTTCCTCGGCGTGCGGGGCTGTCCGGGGTGCCCCCCCCACCACGGACGGCCGGGGCGGAGCGAGGGGCGGGGGGAGAAGTGGCTCGGTGGTCGCGATCCCGTGGGTGCTGGTGCTGGTGGGGCCGGGGCGTCCCCGGGGCCGCGGCCGAAGGTCCCCGCGCCCCTGAAATGTGACTCAACCAACGCGCTGGGCCCGGGGCTGGGGGGGCTCCCCGCGGGGGCCGCTCCGGCGGGGGGGCTGCCGAGGAGTCCGCCCCGTGGGGGGGCTGCAGCCGGGCCGGGGCGTGGGGCCCCCGCCGTGTCCGGCCGTGCCGGGCTCTGTCCTGGTGCGCGCCGGGCGCGGGTCACGGCGAGTGCGTGGCCGGGCTGCTGCGGTTGGAGCTGGGCGAGAGGCTGGGGCTGCAGCTGCCCGGGGGGGGCCCCAGGCTGCCCCCGCGGGGGCCGCCCGCCTGCCCCCCCAGCGTGTCCATGCCCTCCGAGTTCTCCAGCATCTCCTGGATGAGCGGCGGCATCGAGCCCGGGATCTCCATCTTCAGCGTGATCACCCGCTCGGCGCCTGCGGGAGGGTTCGGGGTCAGCACCCCCAAAGTGGCACCCCCAAAAGCTGGCGCTCCCAAACCAGCACCCCAAAAAATGGCGCCCTAAAAACTGGCACCCCCCAAAACCCAGCGCCCTTGAAATTGGCACCCCAAAAATGGCACCCCCCAAAACGGCACCCTGAAATTGGCACCCCTCCCGAAGTGGCACCCAAAAACTGTCACACCCAAACTGGCACCCAAAAAACTGGGAGGGCCAAAACCAAACTGCCACCCCCAAACTGGCACCCCTCATCTGCACTGGTCCCTGAGTGCTGGGGACAACGGTCCCTCCCCAGCATCCCTGGAAGGTGCACTGCTGGGGGTGTCCCCCAATTCTTTGTCCCCTCCAGAGGATGCTGAGTGACCTGGGCCCACCAACACCCCTGGGATGCTCCCCAGGATCCAGAGCCACAGGAGTGGCCGCCCCCTCCTCAGCCTCACCCTTGGCGCTGATGCTGCGCAGGTCCGTGATCTTCATGAGCATCTTGGGGAACATGTGGGGCTTGTTGGGCCTCCTCTTCCTCACATAGATCTTCAGCGCCTCCAGCAGTGGCTCCTGCAGCTTGTCCACCTTGTCGGGCTGCTCCAGGTCCTGGCGGTCTGGGGAGTGGGCACGCAGTGGTTAGAATGCAGGGCAGCACATCCTGGTATCCCCCCTTGCCCCCTGATTCAGACCAGCTCCTGTGGGGTCACCATTTGGGTTCCATATGGGGTCTCCTTGCTCAGCCATCAGGGGAGGACAGCCCAGGGGGCCCGGGGGGCGCCGGGCAGGGGCCCATCCCTGCACCCCCAGCCCAGCACCCACCTCCGCAGATGAGGCAGATGGCACTGAGCAGCCCCGTCTCGGCGTCGTCCATCTCCAGCGGCAGCAGCTGGTTGGCGAAGGCGAAGACCAGGTCGGTGAGGGGCCCGAACCCCGCGTTGTGCATCTGCGTGCGGTTCAGCGTCAGCCCGTCCGAGAAGGTCATGGTGTCCTGCTCCGGCGTGTAGCGCGTGCAGATCCGCAGGATCTGGAGGGGCGAGGCCGGGGGGGCTCAGCCTGGTGTCCCCTCCCCGTCCCCTCCCTGTCCCTGTCCCCGCGCTCACCAGGATGTCGAGGCAGGCGGCTTTGAGGAGGGTGATCTGGTCAGCGATGGTGAGCGTGGTGAAGCCAGGGAGCTGCTTGGCGAACTCCACCGTCTTGATGATGCACTTGGTGGACAACTCGCTGAACTTGTCCCACAGGTCGATGTCCAGGGACACCCGCTGCTCCGAGCTGTTGTTCTGCAGTGGGACGTGGGACGTGAGGGCACGGAGGGGGTGCCGCCCGCCCCAGCCCCCCCAGACCCTCTGGGACCCCCCGACACTCACCGTAGTGTATTTGCCGAGCTGGCAGAGCGCGGGGAAGGTCTCCTGGTGGGCTTTGCGCACCTTCTCGATGAGCTCCTCCACCTCAGGGGTGATGATGTAGCTCTCCGAGCACTCCGGCTTGGGCACATCCTTCTTCTTCTTATTCCGGTCATTGCGGACGGCTGTGGGGACAGCAGGGTCAGGGTCACCTGTCCCCAAAGCCACTCAGACCCTGCCCAGGATGGGGGGGCTCAGCCCCACCACGCTCTGTCCCCTCAAGGCAGGATGGGGACCTGCCACCAGCAATGGGCAGGGCCATGGTGACAAGTGACCAGTGGATTCCTTAAAACAACCCCCAAGTCATTAGGAGTAATTAGGGGTGACCCTGTACCCCTGGGGGGTGCCCACCCCCGTCACCATGGGGACTGTGCTCAGCTCGGCTCTGCTAAGCCAACAGAGCAGAGAAGGACCCCAGGGACAGAAATGGCAGCTGAGCCATCACTTGGTGAGGGGCCCATGGAGGGGACCCCAGGGATGGCAGCTGGGGAGGGGGGAGCAGCTGGGAGCAGCCCTGGCCCCAAGGGGCTCAGCCTCTGTGGGCTGGGGGGGCCCGGACCCCCTGTAGGTGCAGAGTGAGCCCCTGGGATGCTGAAACCCCCCCCTGCAGTGCCCAGCTCCGCCCGCCTCTGCCAGCCCCTCTCGGGGGTCCTGGGCCCCCAGGGGCCGGCAGATGGGGCAGGACTCGGGGAGGCAGCTGCGCCCCTGCAGCCCAGGCCCCCGGGCACCCACCACGGGGGCACAGCCGGGCACCATGACAACTGCCAGCAGAGCCAGGAGGCCTCATCGGCATCATTTATCTCTGACACTATCAATCACGCGTTGCCCGGGCAACTGCCGAGCTGTGACACAATCCCAGGGGGTCCCCATCCACCCCCGGGGCCTCGCTGGGCACACGGTGGGGGCTGCTGGGATGGCCCATCACACACGGAGCCCCCCAACTGGGACAACAGGCAGGGTGTCCCCAACACTGCCCCATCACTGACCCCATCCCCGACTCCATCCCTGTCCCCGTCCCTATCCATACTCACACTCCTTGGACATTCCGACTTCGAAGCACTTCTGGAGCCGGCAGTACTGGCACCGGTTGCGCGTCACCTTGTTGATGATGCAGTTCTTGTCCCGGTGGCACGTGTACACCATGTTCTTCTGGATGCTGCGGCGGAAGAAGCCCTGGGGACCCCAAACGCCCCGGTCAGCGCCCAGCATGGGGACCCCGGGCACCCCAGGGAGCCCGGGGAGCTGTGGGGACTGTGGGGACAGCGGGGACAGAGGCAGCACTCACCTTACAGCCCTCGCAGGCGCTCACCCCGTAGTGGTACCCCGAGGACTTGTCCTGGCACACAAAGCAGGGCTTGTAGATGCGGGGCAGGGGCGGGGGCGAGGGGGGGCTGGGCACGATCTCCTCCGAGCTGGTGCTCTGCGTCTCCACCGCTGTGGGCAAACGGGTGGCAATCAGGGCACGGAGCCCCCTCCAGGCAGGGACCCCCCACCCCGCACCCCAGGGCTATCCCCAGGTTCTGGGGGTCCCGGCAGCCCCGGCCCCGCGCTGCCCACCCCGGCCCCGGCGCCAGGTCGAGCGGGGCCAGCGGGGAGAGGACGCGAGCTGGGAAGATGCAACGTGACATTTCCAGGTCACGGAGACGATGTGGAATTCAGGCAGACAAAAAAAAAAATAAAAAGGGAAAAAAAGCAAAGAAAAGGACTGGGATCCCAGGAGCCCCCAGTCTGGGCGGTGCTGCCGGTGGATGGGGGGATAGAGGGGTGCAGGGCTGGCATGGGGAGGCATCAGTGCCACACATCCCCTCACACATGTGGCCACATGTACAGTGTGACCCCTCCTACATACAGGGTGACCCCCACAGCAAAAACATGGCCCTCAGGAGGGGATGGGCACGGTGGCACCCAGCTGGCACCACACAGTCCTCTGGCAGGGGACATCTCTGAGGGCAGCCCCTGGCCACCATGTGCTGCAATGGCATTGTGAGCATGGGGGACACAGTCAGTGCCCCCTGCACCCCAAAACCTCGTGGGACATTCCTGTCCCCTCTTCCTGCACCCCAAAACCTTGTGGGCTGTGCCTGTTCCCCCTCCTGCACCCCAAAACCTGTTTAGGATGCACCAGTTCCCCCTGCTGCACCCCAAAACCTCGTGGGACATTCCTGCTCCCTTCCTGCACCCGAAAACTTTGTGGGATGACCCAGCTCCCTCCTGCCCCCACAGGAACACCTCTGTCCTCCAGGATCCCCTGGGAGGTGCCTGAACCCCCCAGGCCAAGCCCCATTCCCCTTCCCTGTGCACCCCCAGCACTGGGGGGGGCTCAGCACCATCAGGGTGCAGCCCCTGGCATTGGGGGGGCTCAGCACCATCAGGGTGCACTCCCAGCACTTGGGGGGTTCAGCACAGTTGGGGTGCAGCCCCTGGCACTGGGGGGGTCTCAGCACAGTCGGGGTGCCCCCCCAGCACGGGGCACAGCCAGGCAGGGGTTAAAGAGCTCCCCGGCTGCTCCGGGATGTTTGCGAATGTTTTTCTGCAGCGGAGCCAAGCGAACCAGTCAAACAGGATATTAAAGGCCGGGCCCTGGGGGGGAGCCCGCCCCCCCCCCCCCCCCCCCCCCCCCCCCCCCGCTCTGCCGGCCCCTGCACCCCAAAAAGGGCCCCACGGCCGCCCGAGTCCCCCCAGGGCCGGGGAGCCGCCAGGAGGCCCAGCCAGGGACACCCATCCCGGAGGAGGAGTCCCAGTGGGGTGGGGGACCAGGGGGGGTGATGGGTGAGAGGTGGGGGTCCCCAGCTGGGCTGTGCCAACAGCCCCTCACCAAAGGCCAGGGACTCCAATGGGGCCAGGGAGGAGACAACGGGACAAAGCCACCCCTGGCACTTGTCCCCAGGCTCCAGCAGGGACAGGGGTGTGACAGGAGTGTGCAAGGCACGAGGGGACCGCGAGGGGTGGGATATGTGGGCACGGAGGAGCGTGTGAGTGTGCGGGGTGAGGTACGAGCGTGTGGGGTGGGATATGAGTGTGTGGGGTGGGATTCAAGTGTGTGGGGTGGGATATGAGTGTGCAGGGCGGGAGGGGGTGTGCGGGGTGGGACACGGGCGCGGGGGCGAGCGCGCCGGGCAGAGCTCCCGGGCGGCGCTGAATAAATCACCGCTGCCACTCGAGGGAGCGGAGCCATTAAAGTGACTGAGCGAACGTCGTCTATAATTTATCGCCTCTTTTATATAATTTAAGAACTTCCTCGTGGAGAGCTGCACTCACAAAACGCGGATTTGACAAGATTTTGATGTGCTCGGTGCAGAGGGGGGAGGGGACCCGGCTCCCCCCGCGTCCCTGCGCTGGCGGAGCTGCGCCAGCACCCCGGGAATCCCCTGCCACCCCCGGCACCGGCAAAGGGACTGCGGTGCCACCGCGGAGGGGACACGGACACAGGCGCAGCCGCCAGCCTGGCCAGCTCCTCGGGAGCTGCTCATGGTGGCATCGGGCCTGGGTGCCCTTCGCGCCCTGGGGAGGACATGGAGCAGCACCCAAAGGTGCTGAGCGGGCAGGATGGGTGCAAACCTCCCCCGCTCCCGCGGGGCTCGGTGAGGGGGTGCAGCTGGGGACACGGGGGACCTCAACGCCCAGGCTCGCCCCCTCCCCCAGCCCGCTCCCCCCGCAGCAGGGGGGACCCCGGCATCCCCCCCGGCCGCGGCAGCGGAGCGCGGCTCCAGCTGCAGACCAGATGCTGCGGCTCCACCGGATCCCGGGTGAACGCGCCGCCCCCGCCCGCGGCCCCGCCGGCTGCTTCCTGCCCGCGCCGGGGGACCCCGGGGCACCCCGACACCCGCACCCCCGCCCTGGCGTGGGAAAGCGCCCGCGGGGACACCCCGCGTGCCAGCGCCCGCGGGGACACCCGGGCCGGGCCGCCGCCACCCCCGCCAGCACCCGGCCATGGCTCCGGGACAGACCGTGGCAGGCGGAGCGGGGGGACGGGGGCAAAGCCCACCCAGGGGTCGCAGCGGGGGTCACCGGGGGTCCCCACGGGCCCGGTGCGGCGGCAGTGCCGTGCCAGGGATCACAGGCCCCACAGGAGGGTGGGCGCCCACCCAGAGCTTCCCTGCGGATGAGGATCCCACGTGCCCCAGATTCCTGCGCCTCTGCAGGAGAAGGGGGAGGGAAGAGGGTCCCAGGAGCCCCGAGCCATGGGGTGCCCTAGTGTGTGGGGGCGCCTGGTCCTGCCCACGTCCACCGGTCACTGCCTGGTCCCCAGGGGCCATCCTACCCAGAACCCGGGCTCTGTCCCCCGCCAGCACCAGGGTCTGGCCTCCCCAAACCCCAGACACACCCATCTGTGACCCACAGCTCCTGCGAGGCCATGTGAGGCCACCCCGTGCCCAGCAGGGTGGTGCCACGCACAACCCTACCCACATACCCTCCCAAAACACCCACAGCACCCCAAAACCCTCCCTGCAGCATACAGCCCCCCACGGGCAGGGGGTGCCCACCGCCTCGGTGGGCTCCTACAAGCCCCTCCGCAGCCCTCGGGGGTTGCCTCGTGCCTCAGTTTCCCTGGTCGTGGTGTGGCCCCTGCCCTGCTGGGGAGGGTGGGCGGGCTCCCCGTGCCCTCCGGGGCAGCTCTGGCCCCTGTGCCAGCACGGCGATGTCCCGCCGGGCAGGGCAGGGCAGGGCCGCGCCGGGCCAGCTGCCAGCGCCACGGGGCCAGCGGGCACAGCCACAGCTGCCTCTGGGGAAACTGAGGCACGGCACGGCCCCGACAGCAGCGAGCCCTGCCGCGGGCTGGCACCCCCGGGGCTGGGGAGACACGGCACCTCGTGTGACGTCGGGCACGGGGCACCCTGCCAGGGAGTCCCGCCAGCGCCCGCCGCCCACACGCCCGCCAGGTCACGGTCACCGTGACCAGGGCCCCGAGGTGCCCTGGCCTGGGCAGGGGACCCGCGTCCACCCAGCACTGCGGCCCACGGGGGGGCTCCGGACTAGGGGGGGGCACAAAGGGGGCATAACAGCCCCCAGCTACCCTGTTCAGGACAGTCGGAGCCAAGGGGTGCACTGGAGCTAAGGGGTGGCACTGGAGCCCTGGACCCCCCTGCCCACCCTGCCTGCGCGGGGCCTCGGAGGCAGCCCCCGCCTTTACAGAGGCAGCGGGAGCCCCCGCGTGTCCCCGGCGCAGACAAAGGCCCTTCGGCCGCGCTCGGTGCCAGCGCAAAGGTCGAGCGGCCCCGAGACAATGGGGGGAGTGAGACGGGGGGGCCACGGCCACGCACCCCCCGGGCAGCGCCGGCCACGGGCACCCCACGATGGGCCTCCCACGATGGACCCCCCTGCCCTTGTCGGGGTGAAAGTTCCACAGAGCAGGACTTTCTTTCCCCAGGCCATTGTGGTGGCCCCTGAGTGCCAGCACAGCGGCTGCCCACTGTGGGGGCGCGGGACCCCTCTGGCCCCCCCAAGCCCCACTCGCCCCCCGCGCCGTGGGCACAAAGCACAGGAGGGCCCCACAGCCTCCCTTTTGGGGGGAGTCCCCAGGCTGGTCGGCACTTGGGGTGCGCTGCCCGTGTCCCTCCGCTGCCCACCCCGGTGCAGCAGTGTCTCCACGCTCCCCGTGCCCCCCCTCTGCACAGGGCACGGGATAGGGGGGACCAACGGGGGACACCCCGCCGTGACCCCTCAGCGGCAACAAGACTGGCCAGGCCCCACATCCAGAACCCTCCGGCCCAGGGGGACCCCCCCGATCCCCGGCAGGGTGGGGAGGCCAGGCTGGGGCTCCCCCTCGCCTGAGCAGCAGCGGCGGCTCCGTCTGTAGTTAATTGGATTTTCCCGGAGCCTTTATCAGGAGGGAACGAAATTCCCGGCGGAGACGGCGCTGCCCGGACCCTGCTGCGGGAAGCGAGGGCGAGAGGCGACCCCCCGGGCCCTCCTCACCGGACTCGGCCTGGGTGTCCCGACTCCCCCCGAAATGAGAACGGGGGTGTTTACGGAGCCCGGCGGCATCTGCGCAAGGAGCGGGTGGGGGACTAAACCCCGCACCCCCCTAAGACCAGCAACCAACTCAGCCCCCCGCCGGCGGCCAAGCCCCCCGCACCCAGCCCCGCACCCCGCACCCAGCCCCGCAGTCCCGTCCCCCCCCCTTCGGGTTTCGGGGCCGCTCCCCCCGGCCCGATGCGGCGGTGAGGGGCCCGCCCGCCCCCGGCGCGCAGGTACCTACAGCGGCCGGAGCTGCTCCAGGGCGGGGGGCGGCGGGGGGGGCAGCCCCGGGGGCCCGGCCCGTAGAAATCCATGCGGAGGAAGGGGCCGGGGGGCAGCCCCGCCACCGCCGCGCCCTCGTACATGGCCCCGGGGCGGCGGGGGCGGCTCCCCCGGCCGGGGCGGCCCCGGGCGGTCAGTGCCCCCCCCCGCGCCCCCGGGGCGCCCCGCGCCGCGCGTCCATCGCCCCGCGGAGC